ATGTTTGGCTAAACTGGGGTCAGTGGTCAATGAGTCTATTTTAACTAGTAAAGTATTTCTTACCCATGCCATTTTGGAGGGTTTGGCAGAATATGGAAGGTTTAACTAAGAGAGACTAATAAGAAGCACTGTGTTGAGGCAGAAAAAACAACTCTTTTCTATCAATTTGATAGGAATTTTCACCAGTTCAGGTGGAAAAATCCCCAACCTTTCAAAACAAGTCTCTAACTATGAATGAATTTATTTCCTTGTCTTTGCATATGTACCTAGCTGACAAAAATGGTGAAAAATAGCAAAGTCAAGCCATACCTAATGTGCTGTTTATGTTTCAGTCATTTGCTAACCTCTACGGAGTTCACCCTTTCTATATGTGTGTAGAAGCCGACTCCAACGCCCACGGTGTTCTCCTTCTGAACTCCAATGCACAAGGTAAAAAGATATATGGAGTCCCTATATGGACTGCATATAGAAAGATGGTAAATTAGTAAATATAAAAAACTGTTTTACTGATTGCTTTTTCAATGTGGTACAAATATGAGTGACTGTTCCATAACTGAGGTTCCAGGAATTACTATAAAGTTCTCAAAGGGTTTTTGTTAGAATGACTGTTTAAGAAGGTAAGGTGTTTTCAGTGAAAATATATGATTCATTTTTTTTTTAAATAGATGCACATGCAGGGAAAAGAGAAGGTGGAAGAAATTTCCTCTGGGATTGGCATAACTGAATCAAATCAATTTAGGTTAGTCCTATATTCTGTCTGTGGAGAATAGTTTTGTGCGTTACCATGGTCACCTTACTGTATTAATCCAGTGGTATAATTTCAGAAAAGGGGAATCTTCACTCAGTCTATAAAATCAGTTTCCCCTGCCAGGCAATGACTTCCAATAAGAAGATTAAAATAGCATACAGGAACCCTAAACACAAGCTTGTGGTTCCTTTTTATGTAAGTGAAACTGAGACAAATGAATCTCTGCAATCTACTCTGTGTGGGTTTCTGTGATTTATTGCTGCACAATGTCAATCTGAAAGTGGAGATTACAGAAACGCTGGACAACTGCTATCCTACATACAGGTCCTGTTTGCTCATCCGATTGTACCCACATCAGGCAGTGACTTGATTGTGTAGCCACCTCTGCCTGGGGACACATTATGCACAGAAGAGGCCAGCGTGCATGTATATAGAATAGAATAGAATAGAATAGAATATTTCAGTTGGAAGGGACCTACAATGATCACCTAGTCCAACTGCCTGACCACTTCAAGGCTGACCAAAAGTTAAAGCATGTTATTAAGGGCATTGTCCAAATGCCTCTTAAACACTGACGGGCTTGGGGCATCGGCCACCTCTCTAGGAAGCCTGTTCCAGTGTTTGACCACCCTCTCAGTAAAGAAATGCTTCCTCATGTCCCGTCTGAACCTCCCCTGGTGCAGCTTTGAACCACTCCCATGCACAGTGCAGAGCTAGTTTGTACTGAGAAACTGTTTTTTTCCTTTCAGATGTTTCTCTGAGTCCAAACCCATCCCTAACTTTCCGCACTATTGGAGGGATCCTTGACTTCTATGTCTTCCTCAGACCGACTCCTGAAAACGTAATTCAGCAATACATAGAGGTTAGCAGAAACATGCATATGGCACACAGGGCAGTACCTTGTAACGAACTCCCATCAGTGTCTGATAGTATCGGACATATAGGTAGCACAGCCAAAGCTTTGTCCTGATCTGTTCATACAAAGCCGTAGCTTCAGGTCCATGGGCAACCTGGCATGTGCTCAAGCATCGGCGAACGGTCTGAGTGTAGCAGACTGGCTGGGCGTTCAATGCCCATCTCCAGCCTTCCCCGCAGTATTTCAGAATTGAAAGCAGGAGTGCATTAAAGGGATGCAATGATTAGAAAGAAATTTGTCCAAGCTTACTCTTCTCTGGGCTGTGGTAGTTTTACAGTCTTCACTGCATGACCATAGCTGTGTTTTGACATTGTGGATGGAGAAAACAAACTAGGCACAGCACAGATGGGAATGTTTGGGAACTTTACATCTGCTGGACTTCAGAGATGTTGAATGAACTTCAAAGGCTTCAAGCCTTTATTTGCCAGTGAAATTGCTTGTTGATTTTGGAGCTGTCAGCCTGTTTTTTAATAATGAAAACCCATGTAATTGCATGGGAGAGCATAGATGTGAAAAACCCCATATTTACTGCTGTCTCACAGAGCATAACTACTTGCTTTCCGATTGCCCAATGTTTTCCAAAGAACTGAGAGTACACATGCAAATAGCTGTTTTGGGAGTGTATGTGCAATTCTTATCCAGTGAGGGCCACCCAGAAAAAAGTAGCAGGTAACATGTTCTTCCTGGACACCAAATGCCAGGCAATGCGTCAACTGGGCCCTTGCACAGAAAATTGCCACCTCAGAACCAAGCTCTGTACATAAAGAAACCAGCGCCAAGCCTAAAGAGTGCGGAGCAAAGCTGAGAAGGGGCATGTCACTGTGGGAAGGGGGATTCATGCCCAGAGCCGGGCAGCCAGAGCTCGCAGTGAGATGTGCATGTGCTCTACCTTCCTCTCTGCCATCCCACCAAGGGGCCTGAGCTCTGATTTTCAGCAAACATTTTTTCTTTCCTGGCTTTTTAAAGCCTCCATATCCTATGCTTGCCTTCTTTTAAAGTGCCTGAAATGGGAACAGTAATACTGTGGTTTGGACGAAGGGAAAAAGAGGATTTAGCCCAGAAGTATTGCCACGTTCTGTTTTGGTGATAGAAGGGAGAAGAAGCCTCACTCATGCCGCTGTTTTGGAAGGGCTGGAGCCTTCCCAGGGCAGTGGGCTCTGCTAGACCTTCCATTTCCAAGCAGAGGTTCAGGTGGTGCCTCCCAAAGAGGTGGGAGGCTGCTGGTGCCCCTCCGTGTCCCGGAGGGGGAGCGACTGCTCTGTCGCTCAGAAGTTTCCAGCTTCCTCTGCACGTCCTCCCAACCAGCCACTTCTGACCCCGGTGCCACAGACCAACCAGAAAACTGGGTTTTGAACTTACACATTGGCAATCAAACCAAAAAAAAAACCAAAGAAAGAAAGAAAAAGTAAAGTGACTCTCCCCCTAGCCACAGCTGTGATCCCTGCAATGAAAGCACCTATTTCAGGGAGTCGCTGTGGCAGTGCGATGGAGATTAGAGCCATCCCCGTTTCGTTTCAAAGTCTTTTGCTGGTGTTTGAAGGCAGCATTTCTGTGACTTAGCAGGTGGCCGGCAGCTGAAAATAAAATGAGAGAGCTCTCACTCCCCAGCTGATGGGTACTGGCAGCTCACTTTCCACCCCTGCCTCTCTGGAAATGGAGCTGGAATGAGGAAAACAAGGTAAAGGGGAGCCAGTGGGCGTCTCCTAACTAGACATGTCACATGCGAGGACAAAAAATCCCCTGTTCTGCATTCTTCAAGCTTGTGCTCAGCTCTCTAGGGAATCTTAAAGAATGCATGGTAGCAATTTCATAGTGAAATAATAACTTCCTCAGTAAACATCCTGAAATTCCCAGATCACAAATGTTACAATTACCATATTATTAGTCTCTAGGGTAATGATTTGGCTTTTATGTACAAGATATGTGGGAAGGTGAAGGAGACAGAAAAGACTTTATTCTTCAATTGTATTTTCTGTCATACTGAGAGGACTCTCCCGTGTGGTCATTTTCACGCCCCGGGGAAGGAGAGGGGGTGGAAAGGAGCTGTGTGACCAATGTCTGCAAGGCACCGCTCAGCAGCATCCCCCAGCTCTCTCGGCTGTTTGCATGGGTCTCCTCTGGAAAGTGGTGTTTTGGGAGCTCCCAGCTGCAGGGGAGCCTGGTGGGGCCAGGCTGCCCTGCTGCAATGAGCTTCTTGGGGGAATGGCACCTGCCTCCCGCCTGTGCAAGCATCTGCCCAAAATCACTGCACGGGGCTTTTTGCAGGGACCACCCATTGCAGGTGGCCCCAGTGGTGTGTCAGGGTGGTCAGGTGCCAGCTCGTGCATGGCTGTTGAGAGCAAGGGAGTTGTGTCCAGAACAAAGTGCTCCACACCTTTCTCAAACATTTTGTGCTGTTGCCTTCAGTGCCACTTCAAGACCTGAGCAACCCCCCTGGCCCCTGCCGTGCTTGTTTCTGTGAAAGATTTAGGACCTTTGCTCTGCTCAGTGCTCCCTCCAAACCAGTGAGTTAGGACAGCTTTGTAATGAAGCTTTCTACTGGGTCTCTAGAGTATGCAAGCTTTCCCTATTCACCTCTCCAGGTTGCTGCCAGCACCCAGGGGTGGCCAACAGGCTCTTGCCCAGGGCCACTGCTTCGTAGCCAGCTGGGGGCAGCCGGGCTGTGCCAAGAGCGGCGCTTCTTGCATGGTGATCAGGGATGATTGCGGCTGCCCTGCCGGGGCCACCAGCCTTGCTGTGCATCCTTGGGGTGAGGACAGGTAGCAGCGAAAGCCATGGTGGCCAGGTGCCAGCCTGGCCCAGGCTAATCTGCTTTAAATGGTCTCCAAGGGCGATGCAGGGAGTTGGAAGGGAGCAGTGGGCTGAATGCCAGTGCCTCCGTCCCCGCTGCTGTGTCTTGCGCAGAGCAGAGGTGGGGCGTAGGATGCATCCTGCCAGTGGCACCACAGTGCTACAGCAGTGGTGGCAGCGATAGGGCATGTGCTGGGCATCGTGCTACGGGAAGGAGAAATCTCCATCCCGATTCTTCTGCTCGCTCCTGTCCCTGAGCCTGACCGCAAGGACCACTGCTCCTGGCACATCAGAGGTGGTCCTGCCACAGATATATATATATATTTGACTGTAAACACACTTTTCTCCTACTACAGAAGAGGTCCAGTGTGTGGAACAGTTATATAACACAAATTTCACATTTTATGGCAAACGCCTCAGTTTGCAGGAGGATGGGAAAAAGCAGTAATAAGCTAAAGAGCTCAGCCATTGAGCTGAGTCTAGCTGAGGGTCTACAGCCAGACCTAATACCAAACCACCATTGCCAAGTCCACTGGTGGCCTTTCAGGACAGAGTAACAGTGTGTAGCAGCAGCATATGAGCTCCATAACAAGGCACTTAGGAAAGTTATAGTTCAACAAATGGACATTTAACAGCTGTTGGGTGGAGTGAAGGCCATGAATTTGATATTTTATCACAAATTATCCAACGACAAGCTTTAAGAGAGCATACTGCATGGCTCCTAATTCTGTTTTAAGAGCAAATTGCTGGTTTACTTCCTCCTTACAGAACCGTAGCATAGTTCTGGGTGGAAGGGACCTCAGGAGGTCTCTAGTCCAGCCTCCTATTTGAGAGGTAACGTGGGGAACTTGCTTGTACTTACAGTTTATCGCAGATGATTCAGTGAGAATCTCGCAGTTGAATTCATGGGTCCCCCGAGAAAGACTAAGCAGCTGATAAATGTTTGTGCAGCAAAGAACAAGGTTTGAAGACCTTGGCATTGAAAGCCCTTAAAATTTTTAGACTCCTGAGGTTGTGGGCATCTTCTTAATGGTTTAGCAGTTGCAGGGCCTTTCTTCTTGCTCTCCTAAAACAAAGTTCAGCTTCTGTGCATAGACTTTGAGTGAAGGTTACCCCCTGCCTGACTAGGTGCCCACAGCACTCACCTGCCTGCCTCAGCCATAGGGGATGAGCTGGATACAGATATCTGGGCCATAGGAGCACCTGTCTAATTTAGCCATTGTGTGACTATCCAAACACGCTATTTCTGTGTCTAAATCCAGAGCATTAGTCCACTTGGATTTTTATCATTTCCTCCTACGGCTCTTCCTTAAAGAAAGGAAGTTTAAGCAAATATCAAGCTTCAAGAGTAATTTTATATGGCTAATTAGGGTGCAAGATTAGCAATCTTTCATGTTGAGCCCCTGTACCTGCATTGCTGGAGATCTCAGCTGCTTTGTAAGCCCGGGAAAGGGTGCTTATCTCTCTCTACAGCCTCTATGATATATACTCTTCCGCCGTCTCTCTCACATCAAAGTCTTTGGTCATAGTGTTAATAGAATAGGATCCTGATTTACTATATAGCATTTATAACTTAGCTGATATCCTTGATGCTCATAGTAATAATGTTATTTGTCCAATAACCCAACACAATGAAAGTGAATACAGATCACCTGCTCCCTGGGCACAGATTTTAGCTGTTAGATACACGTTTTCACTGAACTTTGTTCTTACTGCAAAATGCTTCTAGATTCATCAGCTCTCAGGTGCATCTGAAAAAAGTGAAAAAAAATTAATGCCAAGTTATGTAAACCTGGAAAAACTAACAGTGAATTTATTAAACAACACCAGGAGTTATTTAAGAACCAAGTGCAGGAGGAATTGTGGAACAGAAAATAGGATCTGTTTTTTTTTTCTGCTTCTGCACTACCGTATCTTCCCATTTTTTTTCCTCAGTTTGGGTACCCCATATGTTTGCTGTTTCTGCATTTCTCATGTTTTCCTCCCTCAGTTCCCCTGCCATACCTCACTTACCTTTTCTGATTCTATGGGAGTCAATTTTGCCAAGCAGACTTTCTCTGCCTACTGTATTTTATGATCATTTGTATGCAGAATGCAATCTATATGAATTAACTGGATCCTAAATATATATCAAATCCAACATGAGTTTTCAGGTTTGCAAAATTACATCCCTGCCTCTGCTGATCCATCTGCGAGTAGGTACCATATGTCAGTTATTTTATCAGGAAGCTTCAGGGGGATCCATTAGAGAGAGTCCGCAGCATAATTAGAAAAAAGAACATTTGTTTTCCCAGCTGCCCTGTTTTCATCCTTCCTCTTCAAATGTTCTGCTGATTTCAATTAAGCTCACCATAGATGCGCCAGCCTGGTGAACCTGGGGAACTAATTGCTTTAAAACTTAATATCTTGCTTGCAAGGTGGATTTTCTTCAGTTGGTTCAGCTGTAATCTCAAACTCCTTAAGGGATGTTGTCATGAAATAATGCCTCGTCATGGGGCGGCTCTGTGGTCTGCAGGAGAGACAGCACTGTCATGTAAGGGTGAGCAGCTGAACCTCAGCAAACCCCAGCACTGGGGGCGTGCCCTTTGGGAAAGACCCTGGCTGGCACACCGGTGGCCACAGCTCCACCTCCAGCCCCGCTGGCGTCCACCTGGGTGCTCAATAGGACATGTGGGCAGAAGCAAATCCCCATCCAGCTCTCGAACCACATTGTATTGGAGATGTCCCGGGCTGACTGTCCTCCCCAGCCAGGAGCAAGTCGGAGTATCGTAGGACCCGGAGCAGGGATGCCCAGTGGTTCCTGCTGCCTCTGCCCAGGCTGGTCACCCCCGTGGTGGTTCCCGTTTCCCAGCCTGCTCGAGGAGAGGCAGCGGATGCCACACAGACATCCTGCCAGGGCACTGGGCTCTGCGTTCGGCCACAGGATTAATATTTATCAGCCGGTTTTCCCTCTTCCTCTTGTCCAACAGAAGAAGCCTGTGCACAAAACATTTTATTTCATTAGGGAGTTCTTTTGTTTTGGTCTGTCTTTTTAACCTTGTTTGTAGAGGTCACTGTTCACAGTAGAGAAAGCAAGGGCAAAATATGCATCTGCTTTAGGAGCACAAAGTGGTGGGGTTCACAGAGCTCATCTTGCAGCCTTGGCTGGTCTAAAACAAGCTCTGCTGCCTCCTCAGATGAATTTATCCTTAATGGGATGAGTGTGGTTGTGACAGAGAAGCAGACTTCTTGCCCTGAGGCTTGCCGTGCTCTGCTGGACACCTCGATGCCGGCTCACAGGGTGTCTAGGAGAACATCCTGAGCCATCGTGCTCCATTCAGCTCTCCACGGGAAACCCCAGCAGAGCTTGAAAGATGGTCTGGGGGATCAGGTGTGTCCACACAAGCTGGAAATAACTAATGACACATGTAACCAGATGAGACTGCACAGTGGTGGCAACGGCGTGTCTCCGCCCACCGGCCTCCCCTACATGGTAGGGGGCCACCTTCATCCATCCAGGGCCTCTCCCGGCAAGGGCACAGCAGTGTGCAGCGAAGGCTAAGTGCAGCTGTGTCAGGAGCATGCTGCTGACAGCTGCTCTTGCTTCCTCTGAAGGGCTTAGCCTCCAGCTAAGTTGGAGGTGAGGAAGGTGTTGAGGAGGGTGAAGAGAGTAGCAGGCATATGGGGCAGCTGGTGCTGTTCAGCTGGAGCATCCCTCCTGGAGGGACTCAAACCATTAACCTCACCAGTTGTTCTGGCCTCCTCCTGCTTTTTCTTAGGTGAGATAGCAGCATCCCAACAAGCGAAAGCACACTCTGTAGCCAAACTTGTAATGCTTAGTGCTTAAAGTTCGCCTGTCTGTCTACAAGCCATTCTCGTTTAGAAGGAATTTACCCTGTGTGTTCCCCCAGCTTGGGTGCATTAAAACATCCTCTGCTTTTCCCCGCTTTTCTCCTGCATCTGTTTTTTCTGTCCGGTGCAGTTTGCACATCCCACCAGCTCTAGCATCCATGACGTATTTTAGAGCAATTTCAAGTTCAGCATTGCTTTCCCGGGTCAGACTCTTACTGGAGAAAATCCCATAGGAAGGTGTGCCTTTATGCATTGCGATCTCTAGAGAGCTTAGCAATGCAATAGATAGAGTGCCAGGAGTGCCTTGTTTTATTTAATTAAAGATGGGGTTTAGCTGCCAATGTGCAAGTTTTGTTCTTTTTCACTTCTTAGTGTAATTACCTAACTATGGAGATCCACAAGGAGATAAGGGAGGGCCAGTTATTTAGCCAAAGGGATTCAATAGCTGCAACTGATTAATAAGTCATGGGTGCTTACTAGCTACTTGATTTTCATGTATTGCCTGCAAGGATGTTAGAAATACTGAACAAAGGTTAATTTCGTGGGATCTAACTGTTTAAAACTGGAGTAAGGATTTCAAGAGATGTCCCCGAGAAAACACCAGTGTGTACTAATGAGGCAACACCAGATTTCAGCTTATTTCTAGAACAGACACATTGTGGTTGCTCGCTGCTTGTCCAGGTTGCCAGAGCAGCTCTCACCGGGGCAAGCAGAGCAGGATGCCTTGCTCCCCTGTGCTCTCAATCGAGTTTCCTTATGCAATTTACAGCTGGATTACATGGAGCCAGTGGAAATCAAATATTTATAAAATCATATTTAACTCATTACCTTGTGTTTCAGTTGAGAATTTTGGGACCAAACAGTAACTCTGACCTTGAAGAGGTTTGTCAATGCCTGGCAACACAATGCTGTGGGCCAGCAATAAGAACAGTCATAAGTAACTGAATTTCATCAGGGTGGTGTGTAAATATAATTAAAACTCCAGAGAGCTCAAATAAACATCAGACTCTTGATGAGTTAGCTCAGCTGGATGTGGCAAGAGAAATTAACAAAGCTGACGTTGCTGTGTAGCATCAGACATTTGCCTGCTGTTGACCAAAGGGTTTGTGGACTTGGCACGGGTCAGGCAGTGCAAGGCTCCACTCTGGGCTTCCACCAGCGTGCGCCGCATAAGTGAAGGCACGTGCTACTGTGTGGAGGCTGAGACCTCAGCGAGACCCTCATTTAATGTTAGCCTGGGTTTTATACATCGTGTCTTCCACTGGGGTGTTCTTAGAAGTGACGCCCTGTGTGGGTGTCACTCACAGCCTCTGCTAAGGACAAGGGTCCACCAGGAGAAGTGCTTTTTTGAAGCCAAACATTCTGTACAGTGAGCTGTTCTGAGAAAGGAAAGGGTATTTCATGGGTGTGTGATACCTGTGCCCTGATCTTCGTGGCGTAAATGAGCTGGGAGCCTCTCCTGATGTTTCAGAATAACTTCTCTCCATCTCTCTTTTTGCATTTCTGTATTCCTCATTCC